TCAGCCACGTCTATTAGAGAAACTGATGGGTACTTGAATTACAAAATCACAGCGGCGACACACTCAAGTGATTGGTGTGGCAATGAAAAACCAAACAAAAAGAGCAAATGCAATGCCAGATACAAGGACGGTACTAGAAGACTACCTGCATTCAAGGGCAAAGGGAATAATAAAGAAAATAGCAGGAGAGCCATCGTTGCTAGTGGCTCTTCATCTGAAGTACCATCCAATCCCAGCATTGGTTCTAAGGTTGATAATCCAGATGAGGCATACAGCTTTCAGGAAGTTATGCCTAGAGCTTTAGAATCCTTTTCAACAAAAGGATTCTTCTCACCCTCCAAGCAGAGTTTCAAGTCTATTGAAACTGCCAATGCAGTTGGGCCATTCGTTGACAAATCCCAAAAACCCATCCAATCCAAGACTGTACAGAAGTGCTCGCATACAAAAGAGCGTCTTATAATGAACGGCTTTAAACACTACGATGATCTCGTAATTAGACAGTCCAGCATTCATGGTCTTGGGATTTTTACGCCCGTGTTCATACCTGAAAATACACTAATAATGGAGTATAAGGGTGAAATCATTGGAAAATGCATGTCTGACAAACGAGAAAAGCTGTACAAAATGAACAGTATTGATTCAGTTTATATGTTCAGCGTGTCGGAGGATATGATCATTGACGCAACAATGACGGGCAACAAGGCCAGATACATAAACCATTCATGTAATCCCAACTGTGAGGCAATACACTCCGTTGTTGACAAATCCATCAAGTATTGTAGTACTAGGGATATTTTGCCGGATGAAGAGCTGACAATAAATTATAATATGTCCCAAGACATATATGGCGAGAAGTGTAATTGCGGGGACTCCGAGTGTAAATCCAACAAAAAAAACCATAAATAAATACGATTATAAGCAGGACTTTTCATTTCAGTGCCGATTGGCAGCAAGAATACAATCTACTATTAAAACTGACACTGCAGCTAACAGCCAAAGACATGCGCACTGCCAGGATCGAACTGGCCCCCTCCTGCGTGTAAAGCAGACGTGATAAGCCACTACACTAAGCGCGCTATGCATGTACTTCCTATTCGTACTTGGCTGCACTACTCTATCTCAAAGACCACATTAAATTGAGCTTTTTAATTCCACCACAGAAACCGCTTGCTTCAAACTTTGTATATCACAAAAATTTTCAATTTTTCTTCACCATGATTCTTCAGCTCGACAAAGTTAGAGAGTCCACGGGAATAAACGATCTCAAAAAAATTAAGATCAATGGGGAAGACCGCTTCATAGCCTCTTTTGGCGGAACAATAAGAGTTTACAACGAAACAACGGAAATCCACAATTTTGCAACACCTTTCAGCGTTTTTCACATTTTTCCATATCAGGATTGCTACTTTCTCGTAGGGCGAAAGCATTACATGGTGTACAAGGGGATTTGCAAGATTGTCAGAACACGCCTTTGAGTTCGAGTTTGGTCGTGTAGTTAAAATCCTGTCGCTCAGGAATTTTATAATCATATTTTATGAAAATGGGCACTACAACCTCGGAACAATAAGGAATTTGGAAATTGAATTGGACGAAGCACCAAATGATGGGCAGTTCTTCAATGTTCTAGGATCTGAGATGTTCGATGACAAAATAGTAATCCTGGCCAAAACCTTCACTCAAAGCTATCTTCTGACCTACTCACTCGAAAACTGCAAATTTAAAGTTGTTAAAAAGGACATCCAGGGCGGAAATGCCATTGCCAGGCACTCATCCAGCATGCTTTTGATTTTTAACAAAGAAGGATTGTGGAAGTACCAGGATAAGCTTGTATTTATCAAAGAATTTGCAAACTTCAAAATCGCCTGTTCATACTTTGACGAGGAAAATAACAGAACGCTGCTGTTTTGCAGCAATGGTGAGGTGATATCGATCAACTCGGACTTTTCACACTTGACGGTTGGATTTACCAAATCAAAAATAGCATCTGTAGCTAAAATCGGCACCACTTTCTTCTGCGGATCAATCCAGCTATCCTATTTTCTGAGGATTGCCGACCATCTCATAATATTGAAGGTACTTGGAAATGTCCTTAGTGGCAAAGCAGGCCGCAGTCTTAATGACCACTGCTCTTCTCTGAGATCCCGGCTTTTGTTGAAGCTGCTGTACCAAAGAGAGCTCAGCTCCGATCCAGTTTCACTGGACCACGGATCTTCAGGCGATTGGCCAATAAAAAAGATCCAAGAGTCTGCCAATATTGCAATCGACGATGTAGCCAAAAGACTTCTCGAAATTTGTGAGTTGAGAGATGAAGCACCATGTTTTATGGGATATTATAGAGGTGACCGTTTCTTCATTTTTAGTTTTGAGCAGTTTAGTGTCATAAACAATTGTTGTTTTGAGCCAGTTGTAAATGCATCGTCCTCTTGCATATTCACATCAAAGAGGATACTGTGCTTTTCGCAAGAATGCATTTTTCAGTTCAATCTTGAGTGCTCGCGCGTAAAAATTTACCAGGATCTAGCACTGGTCTATTCTTTCGGGTCCTTGTATTTGTTCAATACTAGCTCACAATCATTTAAATCATGCAGTGTTTCCTTCGATCTCTGCGACTTTATATTAAGAGACGAAAAGGTTCTGTGCATTGATTTCGACGAAAAAACTCACATCATTGAGGAGGCTGGCTTCAATATATTGTATATTGAGAAGCATGCTCTTTCCTTTGACGATCTGTTTGGCGAGCATTGCCAAATGCTATCTTTGAGCAATTCACAGACCTTCAACTCAAAGTATCTTTGTGATTTTTGCACCGATCTGCCAAAGCCGTTTCTTGTTGCAAACGGCAAAATTTTTACATTAATAGATGGTATTAAACCTTATGTTTTGCTTAGCTCGGGCTCGTATATTCATAACATTACCCACTGCAAAAATTATCTGATTGTCTCGGGCTCAAACACCATTGTTTTTGACACTACAGGTGCAATGACTTCATACTGCAACTTCAAATCTACAAATTCATTCATGGTTGATGATAGCATCTATGCCTGTCTGCCTTCAGGCCAGATTCAGCAAATTGTTCCAGAAACATTATGTTTTGCAGAGAACCTCTTCAACGAAAAATATGCTTGTCATACCTGTAAGACTTCGACAGAGATCAGTATTGACAGGAAAAGCATCAAGTATTCTCTGGGTACAAGCACACTTGAATATGCAAACTACGTCCAAAAGTTCAGCTGTGCTGTGCGTAAGAATCTCTTTTGTGTCGGGCTGATTTCTATTAATTTTGATAGAAACAAGCTTGTATTCTTCTCCACAGACAACAAAAAATTGAAGATAAGACACACCATTGAGCTCTCCAGCATGCCAATATGTGGGTGTGCATATAAAAATAACGTGTGTGTCGTTACCTCTGATAGCATTATGCTGATATCCTTAAAGTACGGAAAGATTAAAATTTCTGAGAAGATCAAAAATACACATTATCCATGCAAGGGCCTTGAGTTTTACAACGAGAGCACAGTGCTAGTAACAACGCTTGATTGGTTTTATCTGGTAGTAAACCTAAAGATGAATCTTGTGAAGAAGATCCAAACTGAAAACTTCTGCATTCCTTTTATGATCAATGGAATAGACGGGCATGCAACCAGGAATATGCTGCATTATCACGGAGCAGTTATCGACTGCATTGAGGATGTCGCCTACATCGTCAGCCATAAGAATTCAATTCTCATTTTAACCACAAATGGCAGTGTTCTGTTTCTCCACACTATTCAGTCTGATACATTTAGGTTTATTTATGACTCTGCACCAAAGGTGATTAACAATCTTGTCGAACACTAAATAATTAACTGTATTTATTCTTTATTACCTGTTCTGTATCTCTGGCCGATGTTTAACGTTTGAAACCAACGTAAAATGCAGATGATGTAGAGTGTATGTGGCATGCTATTTCAATATAATGTCAACTGGCAAGCCTTTACCATTCAACCCGAAAGGTCCTCTTTTTAGGAATGATAAACTGCCTTTCTTCAGTGTCAAAATGCACCGACCCATGTCGTTCGACTGAAATGACACGTTCCAAAACCTCATCTGAATTTCTCAGCTGGGCAGGCCCATTTATACACCCACTTTTGCAGATTCTAAGCTCCACAAATCCACATTGGCTACTGTGCTTCGCTTTGTTTAGATGGTTTATGCAGCTTTCAATTCCCGATACTTCCATAATGTCCTGGCTATGCGATACCTCCCACGGCAAAACCTCATACTCTATTGAGTTTTCAGGATGAAATTTATCCTTCAGAAACTCATAAAACTCCTTTGTTCCCAGAAAATAGCTGATGTCAGTGTTGTCTCTTCTCAGCTCGTCTTTTTTGTCATAGCACTGCATGACACTGACTATTTTATGATCTTTGATACTTGGTGCATGGTTTTTACCGCCATTCGTAATAAAATCGGCTGCTGTTTGCTGGAAGGTCTTTCTTGTTGAAAGCATCGGAATTAGGCTTGGAAACACTCGCTCTACATACAGAACCACAGCCGGACATTCGCTTGAAATGCCCACTTCTGTGCCTTTTCTGAAATACGAAGTATCTACAACTTTGTAAACACTAAAATGCTCTTTTAGAAACTTAACTAGAGACTTTTCAAACGAACAGTAGTTGATTTCTGGATATAGCCGACTGATGTTTTCTTTGGACTGGCTGGAAAGGATAAAAGAGTATGTTTGGTCCTTGTTACTGAGAAACGATGTATCGACTCTGAAGCTCTCTTTCTCAGAGGCAGTTATACATCCGCTGCAAGCTAAGCAATCTGCGAGGCTAATTCTGTCTGGCTTTATGCAGGATGAAGAGCTTGGGAGATCGGTTTGGAAAAATCTACTCATAGGGGGCAAAGCCACTGCTCTATAGTAATCATGGGTCTAAATTTACATAGTCTCTGATGCCGACATGAAGCACATCTTTCACCGTGGCTTGCCATTTCCACTTTGTTAGTATGTACAAAATTTAGGCCTTGCTATATGGACAGAACAAAAGAGTTTTTCTCCATTGTGGAACTTACAGAAATACCACAAAATGCATTTGAGCAGCCATCTTTTTTCGAAGACATCAATGGAATAGAACAAGAGATCGACAAAGCATATTCGTCCCTCTCAAAACTTACAAGCTATGAGTCTTTCAAGGCACAAGCACTCCTAAACCAATGGCCGATTGCTCAAGGAATACAAAAGCACATCCATGGTAGACGACAGTGGATCCAAGGACTACCAAGAGGTGCTTTCAAACCTGAGGAGCATGGTTAACACGAAATTTTTAAAATACACCTTAAAATTAAACGAGATGAGGCGGAAGCTTCAGCGGGAGGCATTAGAAGCACCAAGTGCTCCCAAAGAAGTCAACAGCAGAGAGACCAGCACTTCGTTGCTAATGGAGGAGCAAGAACACCAACAGAAGAATGAGTTTATGGAAGAAAGAAAAAGAATCGTCAAAAGCATAAATGAAATAGGACAGATTGTGGAGGATATTTCAATCCATGTTAGGCTGCAGGAAGAACAGCTAAAGAGGATTGACGATATTGTAATTCAGAGTGATAAGTGGTCCAAGAAGGCTCTCAACGAGCTGAATGATATTTGGTTTGCAGTTCGATCCAATAGAAAAACCATCGTGAAGTTCTTTGTCTTCTGGATTTTGGTTATTTTGCTGTTTTGGGGCCTAAGGAAGATATAAGCTAGATCTGGAAATCGCCTTTAACAGTATGGATTTGAGCGAGCATTTATGCATGCCGAACTTTTATTAAATTTTTGCCAACAATTGATGTCTGAGGCTTGTTTTGTTATTAGATATGGCTGCAGTATATCAGACTGTTTTTGGCTAGTTTAGTCAAACTTAGTTGTGCTCTTGGGTTTTTCCATAGCATTCAAGTAGTTGCTTGTAAAGATTGTAAATCTCCTATCCTTTTCTTCGCAATCATCCATGAGGTGCGATGAGCTAAAACACAGCGGACAGCTCATAACAAAATTGGCCATTCTGTTTCTGTTCACAAGCTTGTATCGTCGCCAGATCCTTGGACACTCATCAACATAGTGGCGCTGTGCGGGACAAAGGTTGCACAGCCTATGCTCTAGCGGCCTATCTCTGCAAAAACGATAGGCATGGCCCAGTCTGAAGCAATTATCACACAATAGATAGTCACAAGGTTTACCTTTGTGCATAGTACTGCAGTATATGCAGCTTCTTTCTTGCTCTTGCGTGCAGTCTCTTGAAACATGTCCTACTTCACCACACTTGTAGCAAACTGTGGTGTCTTCAAAGTATCGTCTTTTGTCATTCTTTACTGATGTTACAGCCCTCGAGGTATCCAGAGAAACAGATTCTCTGTGAAACATCATGCTGAGAAGATCATACTTGTCAATATCTTCGTCTATGTCTATGATTTGATTTCCATCTACAATCCGAATTTTTGAAAATATTGAGTCTGTGTCCTCTGGCATGGCCAAAGGATTTTCACAGATAAAATGCACAGAGCAAAGCCTGGTTGAAAAAACTCAGTGTGGAGTGAGCTCCTGCTGGTTTCTATTTCAGCAAAATTATACATGCAGAATACTGCCACAAAAACAAGGTACAGCTACTTTCAACATTTAATTCACAATGGGTGAAGATCGCCGTCGCAAACCATTGTTATTGCCTTGCCAAAAACGACAGTTATTTTTCTATTTTCATCCTCAATGACACAGTTTGCAACTTCATCATATCCTAGCAATTTTCCTTTTACAGCCTCTCCTCCAAATGTGATTATTGAAACATGGGTATTTTTAAACCTCCTCAAATCATTGAACAGTGTCCTCTTTGGCGGCTTTTCAGACCTTTCTGCCATGTGTCTGCCAACATCTTCGAGCAACTCATCTTCATAGCCACATTGAACTTCTCCATTTTTTTCTGGAAAAGGCGCTTTGTCCTCAGTCGATGAATTTTCCATTGCCAGGGTGGTCAGGAGAGAAGGCTTTATGCACATCCAATAAATGTTGCAAACCCATTGCAGGTAGTGATAAAAATCCATATGGATTACTGAGTAAACTCAGCTTAGATATTTAATTTAACCAATTTATTCGGCAAACATGTTGTAGTATATGCTCGATTCAATGTCAATACTGGCTTCTTCATTCTTCTGGCTTGAAGCAAGTGACTCGCAGTATTTCTTATCTGTAGACAGAACATGATGTCTGATTTTAAAAGTCACCATTTTAAGCTCAGACAAAACATCAGAGTCAAACGAAACAGTAAGGCGGTCAAGCAGGTCTTTCTGGTCCTGAAACAGCTGGTTCAAATCTACCTTTTTATTTTGATCCAGCGGTACATTTATATTAAAAAACTTTTTAATCTCAGGGTCGTCGAGGACAAAACCAGCACACTCGACAAGCCTTCTGGCACAGTCGGGATCTTCAAATACTACCAGGTACTTTCCCTTATTCAGCCTTCTTACTGATGTAATGACTCCGTATTTCTGTGCATACTCTTTGAGTTCCTCAATTGAGAACCTTGACTCATCCACCTTATTGAATATAACCTCAGAATTATCAATTTTGAACTTCTTACTCGCAGAGGTCTCGGCTGCCGCACTTTTTTTTGATCCCACAAGCTCGTCCTCGTCATGTGCAAACAGGCAGATGGGCCGGTTGCAGTTTGACGCATCTTTGCACATCTTCTTTCTAAACATAAACAGCTTGTCTACAAAGCTTTTAGTACCGTCTTTTAGCAGTGGCTCTAAGGCTCTCATCACGTCTATGTAATGGTTCTTTGATTCTTTTACAGTATACTCAATAGTGGATACAATGATGGGGCCCAGATCTGGATATTCGTGTTTTATGTAAGCCAGAAGTGTTGGTGCCAGCGGCATTGTCAGCTTATTTCTCTGTTGATCTGTATTCATCTGGCCTGTGTGGACAACTTAAAAATTTTTAATTGCTAAATAGCAAGAAAGAAGTGAAGGCATATCACTTTGCTGAACATGTGTACCCGTGTTCTTCAAAAACTGAAGGTATTTAGCATCAAAGCACAGTGGATTTTAAAGAAATAGTTGATTTTAAAATGCTTTGAGAAGAAATGGAATAAACAAAATATTTATGTTTGCCTGATATAGGAAATATCCTTGCGATAGTAGTCTTATCTATCTTGATATTCTTTAAGAGCGTGTCAAAATATATGAACTTTCCGCACGACTCCAGACTATGCAGACCATTTGAAATATCTGCAATATTCAACAGCAGATGCGAGCACTTGCCTTGATAATCAAAGAACAAGCACACCTGGCTGTGACTAATGTTCATCCCGCTCAGCAGCTGGTAGGTTTTCTGCCTGAGAAAGTCAAGATTTTCAATATTGGCTAGCTCTCGGACTGAGTGAATTTCCGGGCTCTTGAAAAGACAATGCCAGACTAATGCGTCGGTGTCTTCGGAAAATATGAGAAAGCTGTCATCTTCATACAGCCTTCTTGATAATTCTCTACTTTTAATTGTCTTGGCCTCTGATTTAATGTAGGCATCATAAGACTCGCAGTAGTATTCATATAGACATGTGCCACGTGCCAACACACTTTCATCAATCGGGTGCTTCAGTGTTACATCGCATTCCAATTCACATTCAACATTTGCGCTTTCGTAAACATCATTTTTAATGTGGGGCACATGCTTCCTGGCTTTTACATCCTCAAGCACAGAGAGATCAATTGTGGGATAGCAAATCTCAATGACAGCTCCGTGCTGTCCATTTTCAACATGCAAAACTGTGTTTTTACTTGTTTCAATCAACTTTTTCATGTTCATTGCAGGATCCGCCATAGATAGAAGGGGAGCTAGGGCCAAAAATATTGGCATAGTGAGCAAGATTTTGTTTAATCTCTGGCAAGCTAGCCTTGTATTAATATGCTAATGTCCTTATATTTCATTACAACAAAAGCGTCGTTTGCTCATCCCCGAACAGATGCAGGAGTAATGCGGTTAAAAGCACAATCCTGCGATTCCACCAACATGAATTTCAATTAGCTCTCCAAAGAAAATAGGCAGCAAAAGCCACACCAGGGTCGTAATAGGCACTCTACTTATTGTTATGTAGACTATTGCTAGAATGAAAAATTTTACATCATCCTATGTCTGAGAATGTTGCAAAAGCACAACTGCTGAACTTTATTTTAAATAAAAAGTACGGAGCCAAAGAGCAGTCCAACCCTATTATAGAAAATCAGATAAAGGCCTTGAATGCGCCCGGCTGCTTGCTTGGGTTCAGATCAGACTTTACAGTCGATGAACTCAATCATTGGCTGGCAGAGCTGGAAAGTATATTTCCGATTCAAGAGGAAATACTGCAAGACCTGATATTTGGCATGCTATATGGCTCTGAGGTGTTTCAAAAGCTGGCCAAGGCCAAGGATTTCAAATTTGCAAGTATTTCCAAGCTTTATAAGTCCAGATTTGAGACGAATAGGAAATACTTGGCAGAATTCAATTCAAAGGACCAGGGAAAAATCAACATCCACGCCCCAAAGAGGATTGTAACCAGGTTTCCGCCAGAGCCATCAGGATATCTTCACATTGGTCATGCAAAAGCGGCATTTCTTAACCAGTACATGGCAAAGGACGGGAAATTGCTGGTTCGGTTCGATGATACTAATCCGGAAAAAGAGACCCTGGAGTTTGAAAATGCAATCCTCGAAGATCTGGAGCTGTTGAAGATTTCCGACTTCAAGCTTTCCCATAGCTCCGACTATTTTGACGTGATATTTGAATATGCCTGCCAGTTGGTAAAAGAGGGCAAAGCTTACGTTGATAACACAGAGCTGGAAACCATGAGGCAGCAAAGAACAGATGGTGTTGCGTCTCGAAACAGGGATCTTGATCCCGAAACATCACTCAAAATCTTCAGGGCTATGAAGGATGGAAAATATAAAGATTACTGTTTAAGAGCCAAAATCAGCATTGACAATCCAAATAAGGCCATGAGAGACCCGGTAATTTATAGGCACGTTGAGACTGCTCATCACTATGCCGGAAATAAGTATAGAATCTACCCAACTTATGATTTTACAGTTCCTATTTTGGACAGCATTGAGGGCGTGACGCTTGCCCTAAGGACAAACGAGTATCGCGACAGGAATGCGCAGTATTACTGGTTCATCGATAACTTACGCCTGGAAAACAGACCAAAGATTCACGACTTTTCTAGGCTGAATTTTGAAAACACGGTTATTTCAAAACGTAAAATGAAGTACTACGTCGAAAAGGGATATGTTACAGGATGGGATGACCCAAGAATGTGCACTTTGAGAGGTCTTGCCAGGCTTGGAATGGATATGGGTGCTTTGAGAGAGTATATAGTTCAGCAAGGTGCCTCTCAAAAAACAGCTGTTGTTTCCTGGGATAAGATATGGGCATTGAATAAGAAAGTGATTGATCCTCGCAGTCCACGACATAGTGCTGTCCCTTTGATGGACTATGTTGTATGCTATATTGATACCTGTCCGGAATGCAATATTGGCCATCCCCACTGCCTGGATAAGTCGGATAGATACATCGAAATTCCCAAGCACAAGAAGCATTCTGATCTCGGCAACAAACAGCTGCTTCTGTCAACGGAGATTTTACTTTCACAGGCAGATGCATCCGTTCTGAAAATTAACGAAGAATTTACATTGATGAATTGGGGAAATGCGATTGTCACAGATAAAGCTGCTGAAAACGGAAAGATTAGGTCACTGAGAATTAAGCTCAATCTCAACGGGGACTTTAAAACAACCGAGAACAAAATAACCTGGATTGCCAGAAAAGGCGCTGTGATGGTGAAGTTCTATGAGTATGGTAATTTACAGAATGATCTCAATACCGAGGATCTAGATTTGAAGTTTAACCAGGACTCAAAAAAGGAAGAGTGGTGGCTAGCTGAGAGCTCGATTTCTGAGATCCGAAAGTCCCAAACACTACAGATCGAGCGGATTGGGTTTTTTATATGCGATGGGCCATTCGAATTTAACTTGATCCCATTTACTAAGCAGAAAAGAACGGAGTAAATTCTTTATTATCTAATACTGCCGTATTTTAATTTCATTAAGCATAGCAATGATTGCTAGAGTGGTGTGGGCCCCGTTGGTTTTGAGCTGTCTGCACTGGGCTGTGTGGTCTTTACGCTGTTAGAGTGGTTTTCTATCCTCGCTCCCAAGCTTAGCCTTTTTATCTTCCTAATTCTGGTCCCCAATGAAGGAGCTTAAGTTCCACAAAGAATCAGAATGCCAAAGACTCAAAGTACCAAACAAGGACAATATATATTCTGGATATTTTAAATTTGCAACTCAGAACACAGCAGTATACGATGGATACTGCTTTGTAGAAAGCAGGAACGAAATTATGAAGATTTGCGTGGAATGTGACAAAGTCTTTGCAAAGAAAGACCAGATAGCGATCCTAAGGAGCAGCAAGCTTGAGATATTTAAAAACAATCAACTAGTTAAGACAATTCAGATCAAGGGGTCTAGCAACATACGCGATTTTCTGTTAAATTTTGAGGAAGATCTGGGGAGAGTTGAAGATTCAAGTGATATATTCATGGTCGATGATAAGGAAATGGCCATAAACAAGCAAAGGATACTCTTTGATGGAAACGAATATCCGAATGAGATTTACGAGCCAGGCTGTAGGCATTTTGTAGCATGGAGGGATAAAGTGGCCGTCGTTGGAAATAGTAAAAGTTTTAATTTCGTGTATTTTTATAATGGCGAAATGGCCGAGGCTGAAGAATACAGTCCACTGTCTGTGCGAACAGACGAAGACTCTCTGGATTCAGTCCCGCTAGTTGACATTAAGTTCTGGAGAGACAAGCTCCTGCTGATTGACGAAGCTTTCATTAATGTTTTTGCTATGTCAGGTCTTGAGAAGGTGTCTGAAACTGATAAAGCTGTTGTTGAGTATAGTATCAAAGACGGGAAGCTTATTCAGTCTGAGATCTCAGGCATGATATTGGACAAAGAGCCCTTGAAACTGTTGGAGCCTGGGAATGAACTGCTGCCTGGTGCAATTTCGGGTCCTAAGATTTCAAGCATTAACAACGTGGCATCCACATCTGCCTGTGAGAACCAGAAGACAGGGAATTACAATGCAACAGAACCACTACTGTCTACATCAAATGATCATTTGAACATGCCAACTGAATGCACAAGAAAAAACGGGTTGGTGCCAGAGAAACTAGATGCGAATAGAGCAGACGAAGAAGCCAGACAACTTGACATAGAGTTCACACAGAGAATAACATCTATAAAAAATTCGTTTTCTCAACTGCAGAAGAAGACTGCTGCGCCAAGGTGCATGGTGCTTGTTCCATCAAGGTTTGATTTTGAGGGGCTTTATAATTTAATTTTCCACAATCATACTAAGGAGTATGAGGACGTGCTATCAAATATGATTTTCCAGATTGAGAGTCTTCAATCGATATCTGAAAGCAATATTTCAGAGAGTATAAAATATTTCGATTCTAAAATATTTCAGAAAAAGTCAGTTAAAATACCTGTTAAATACCATGATCCACTGTGTGCGAAGCTAAACACCTGCTTGAAAGTTTCGAATCCGTTTGACGATCTTTTTGAGGGGATTAAAGTTTTAAATGTCCAAGAATCGAATGTCTTTCCCAAGTTTGAGCCGAAAGATGCTCAGGCTGAAAGTGCTCAGAACAAAGATACTCCGAATGAACATGGTGCAAAGGCTGAAGTAGCATCTAAGATCCTTGATCAGCAGCCCGCTGTTTCAGCCGACCAAAACAAGCCAATCGATGGTACGTTTACTGGCGTTGGCCAGAATGCACCGTCTGCAAATGATTTGAACAGCCAAGCTGGTGTGAATCCTAGAAAGCCAGCTTCATCAGTCATTAATGTTGGCAATGCAGGACCTAGGACCGCCAGCCTATCAAATAGCCAGCCAATCTCCATCCCATTTGGTGCCAGCATAAGAGATTCTAGCAGATTTGTCGCACCTGCCAACCAACCAAGCGTTTCTCTTTTCAACAACACTCAACAAGGTGTGAACAGTAATCTTTTTGTTCGGGATACCTCTTCTCTGTTTAGCGACATTGCTTCCACCTCATTAAACATGTCCGGCACAAATACACAAAATGCATCCACAGCAATGAATCCAGCTCAAGATGAGACTGGTAGTACACATGTCAGTGCGTTCAATCGCTTGGCAGGTTCTCGTCGACTATTTAAATAAATTGCTCAATTGTTTGTAGCCATTTAGTGTCGAACTCTGCATGGTTGCCAAGTCTTCATGCTAGCAGTGCTAATGCAGCAACAGCAGCGGAGGTATTTGACTATTGCCAAAGAGTCTCATTATCACCACAAACTCTCTGGTGTTTCTCCCTCATTTGACAATTCCCAATCACTTGTCGCTTCGGCCTGCTTGCTATTACGTGCTGATTGAATTGTCTATGCACATTTCGCTGCGTCGTATTTTTCTTGATACTCTCTTCATTCTCGAGCTACTCAAATTTTTAACAATATTGCATTCTAGAAAGAGATTTGTCAGCCCCAATGTGGTCCACAAACGAACTCAAGAAAAGATTCTTCGCATACTTTGAGAAGAGAGGACACAAGGTCCTGCCGTCATCATCGGTAGTCCCCAAGAACGATCCAACACTTCTGTTTACTAACAGCGGAATGGTTCAGTTCAAAAGCTATTTTCTAGGAGAGAAAAGTCCGTACAAAAGAGTGGTAACATCGCAGAGATGCATCCGAGCTGGTGGAAAGCACAACGACCTTGATGATGTGGGAAAAGACAACTACCATCACACATTCTTTGAGATGCTTGGAAACTGGTCATTTGGCGACTATTTCAAAGAGGAAGCAATTGAGTTTGCGTATGATTTTCTGGTCAACGACCTAAAGCTTGACAAGAACAACATATATGTTACTATCTACGAGGAGATGGATACAGAGTCCAAAAGGATTTGGAGCAAATATGTCGATCCCTCAAGGATCATCTCCGCATCTTTTAAGGACAACTTTTGGGAGATGGGCGAGTATGGGCCATGTGGCCCCTGCACCGAAATCCACTACGACAGAGTAGGAAATAGAGATGCATCGCACCTGGTGAATAAGGACGATCCTGAAGTTGTAGAGTTCTGGAATATTGTCTTCATGGAATATGAAAGGACACCAAAGGGTCTTGAGCCACTGAAGATCAAGCACATTGACACTGGAATTGGCTTGGAAAGATTATTAAGCATATTGATGGGTGTCAAATCGAATTACATGATTGACACCTTCCAAAATATAATAAAATTTGTCGAGACCAAGTGTGGGTTCAAATACGAGGATAAGAACAGTCTCCAGGACGTTGCATTCAGAGTTCTTGCAGATCACTCCCGGACGATTGCTGTATGCTTGAACGACAATGTCTCGTTTTCCAGCGAGGGTGTGGGATACGTTCTCAGAAGAATCCTTAGACGGGCAGTAAGACATGCCCACGATACTCTAAAGCTTGAAAAGGGGGTTCTTTCACAGTGTGTTGCAAAAGCAGCCGAGTGCATGGGCCTCGAGATTGATGCCTCTGTTGTTGACGATGAAGAAGCTTTATTCCTTAAGACGCTTGTAAAGGGATTGAATCAGCTGATGAAGATGTACGAATCAAAAGGCAGACTTGACGGGCCAGACATTTTTGTTTTGTACGACACATATGGATTTCCCGTTGATCTAACTGAGTTGATTGTGAAGGAAAAGCAGATACCATTTTCAATGGAGGGATTTAATGAATGTGTCAACAAAGCAAAGGAAACAAGCAGCAAGTCAAACAAGAAGCTAGTTACTGTGAACTTTGATTTCCAAAAGACCGATGACTCATTCAAATATACTACCAATGGTATTACTGCAGAACTAAAGGCAGCCATACTGGACAACGAAAGTGTGTCTGTTCTGCCCGAAGGAGCACTGGCTATTCTTGTTTTTGATCGAACATGTTTCTATGGAGAATCAGGAGGACAGGTTGGCGATGCTGGAACTGTTGAGTTTTTTGACGAAAGCAGCCGCAAAATTGGTGTCTTTGATGTGCAGGATACTCAGATCCAGAGAGGCTATGTGCTGCATATTGGCCAGCTCAGAGGCACGGCCTCGTCTAGCGCAAAGCTCACATACAACGAAAGTATAAGATCAGCCACGCGCGCAAACCACTCCTCAGTTCATATTTTGAACTATTTCCTTCGTACCTTTATGAAAACCGAGCAGCAGGGCTCTTTGGTTGATTCGGAAAGAGCACGCTTTGATTTTGAAAGCAAAAAACTGAGTGATAGTACCTTGGACAGCTTGGAAGAGAAAATCAACCAGTTTATTACGTCAAATGCGACCGTTACTGTCACTGCCCACCCAAAAGACGAAGTACTATCTAACCAGGGCATTATTAAAATGGCTGATGAGGACTATCCCGAAACCGTTAGAGTTGTCACCATGTGCAATGGACCAGTAACAATCAAGGAGGTGTGCGGTGGCACCCATGTCTCGAACACTTCGGAGATTAAGTGTGTTAGGCTGCTTTCCGAGTCTGGAATCAAGGCCAATACACGAAGGATCATGCTAGTTTCTGGAAAAAAGGCCCTGGAAGTTGATGAAAATGCTGAATCGTTGAGAAAAAGGCTAATGGCTGGTGAGATAGTGAAAATTGATTGCCAACTGTCTATTTCACAGAAAAGAGAAATTGAAGGGATGAATAAGGATAACCTGAAAAGAATGCAGAAAGAACTTGAGAGCAGCATATCATCACTCAAAAAGGAAATCGAAACAGGTCTCCTCAATTTCAGGGTTTCTTCAATGGGGTATCCAGATGTTTTTAGCTATGAATGTGCTGAGCTGTCCAAGTTTTCAAGAAAAGAGATAGTCAAGTCTCTTGGCTCATTGATTGGGTCTATCGACGTAGCTTGTGTTTTGTTTGCGGAAAAAGATGGCGAGGTCCAATTTGTTGCACGTGCTTCCGAGCCAGAAAACCTGTGCTCGAAGATTGAATCTGAGTTTTTATCAAGCACAGTACGGATTGTCAAAGACCAGCTGCATGGATCAATACCTAAGAACTGCTTTTCAAGCGAGAGGCTTCTTCAGGCATTTCAATAAATTTTTTAAAGGCTGGCAAATGGTATACCGCTGTAACGTCAATGTTGGATTGATTTCCATGAACAGCATTCATCGTCTTAGGTGCTCCGCAATCTCATGTTTTGGCATGAGAATCTTAGCCCGTACTCTGGGTCAGTTTTTTTCGCCAGTCTTAAAACAATCGCAAAGCTGAGCTAGTTTTTATGCCATAGCTTAATCGATGCGAAAAGAATCGTCCAGCATCTGCTGCTATATAATACCAACTACTAATGCTGCACAGCATTTATTAAGGTTTCTACCATACTTTACCATCAAATTTTTACAAACAAAAAACCCATGTATCCACTTAGAAATTTTACTGAAAATGAAATTGAGTATATGAAGAACTACAAATACCAAAGCAGAAACGAGCCTATCCTATACCAGCTCTTCATCCAAAGTATGTTTGATTATCTGCATGTCTTTATTCCAGACAGCATAATGCCTAACCAGTTGACAATGGCAGGTCTGCTTTGCATGCTGATTAGTGTGTCCCTAACCGTCTATATGAATCCCAATCTTGTAGACAGACACAGAAGCCTGGCGCTGGCCAATCTCATTTTACTTGCTATCTACTTTAGTACCGATTTTGTCGATGGAATGCACGCTCGCAGAACAATGCAGTGCAGCCCGATGGGCGCAGTTATGGACCATGGCGTTGACTCAATGGTCACCGGATGTATCATTTTATCGCTGGCGTCATCTCTCAGGCTAGGCATCAATACCCTGATTGTCTTCTTCAGCTACATTGCCCTATTTGGATTTTACATTGCTGGTCTGCATATCAAGTATGCCGGGTATCTTAAGTTCAATGCAATATCTGGCCCGTCAGAGGGATTAGTATCTGCTATGATCATTCATGTGATCTCATGGCTTAGGCCAGAGTTTATTGATTGCATGGCAGGCTTTGTGAAAAGCTCTAAGATCAATAAATACAAAAGCAGGGTTCTAAGCTCGCTGTTAGCACTACTGACTGTTGGATGGATCTATGAATTGTTCCATTCTATTGCAGCAGAAAACAGAAGCCTGCGGACCATGGATGTGGTGATATCTCTGTCTGAACTGCTGTTTTTACTCTCATTTCTGTCGTTCTTGGCCATGATTGACATATCATCCAATATCCAGTTCTTTTACAATTTTTTCTTCATTCTAATACAGAACTTTACAGTCTGCTATGTTGAGGAGACAATAAGCAGCATGGCTGGGACTGCCACTGATATGAGGGTGTTTCTTTTCGCATACATCATATTTTCTGCACTATGCTTCAGCTTTTCGTTCAGAAAGCAGTACAAACTCGCAGGTATCTGCTT